ATAAAGTAAAAATAAAGTAAAAATAGAAATAAAAGATTTGATTCAGAATTAGGGTATTTCGACCAACAAATCAGCGTTAAATCCTAATTCTGGTAACAATACCAAATCTCTCTATTGGTATAAATGAATTTCCCTTTTATCTCCCTTTTGTCCCCAATTCAATTTTATAATCAATTTCTCTCTATATAATGAACAAAGGCAGAAAAATTACATATAGGGGACAGGGGGTTTGGTATAGAGAGCTTAGACTGTATATGCATTCTGACCATGTTGGTTGACCCACTAAGGATTTGGGATAATAATTAAACGGGATCACCTTCTTCAACATCAGAGAGTTGTTTTATATAATTGTGAATTTCACTTTTAGATGCTTTTGAAAAAATAGTTCCGAGGATTTAAAAAAAATAAATAATGCTTAGATTCTATTAAGAAATTAAAAAGAAACAATTCTTGCCATTTATTTTTTTCTATGCAGATTTGTTGATTAAAATTATTCTATTTTTCAAAAGGTCTTCTTATCCTCATATTTGGCACTTTATAGTTTAACACAATTGAAGCAAATCTACATGGTCTTGTAGTAACAAGAAATTTATTCATAGTAAAGAAAAAACATTATCTATCATAACAAGCCCAACCGCGTTGTTGAATGTTGATGAAGAACATATTTGCTGAAGAACAAATATACATTGCAATGAGCCGAGCTCCTTCGTTAAAAAACTTGCATATCCTCAGTTTTGACTCCCACTAATTATACTGTCAGTGGAAGAGACGGTCTTAATGAAGCACATAGATAAAAAAATGGATGATATGTTAATTTTTTTTAACAAAAGAATATTATGAATTTGATCAATTAGCTTAATTCTATTTTAAAAAATTTATTTTTATAAATTAATTAAAATGTTGAAACATTTAACAGTGGCTTTAATTATTTAAACATAAGTTTATCTATTATTATATAAATCAAAGGGACGAAGGGATGTAATTCATACTCATATTAAGCTTTTTTTTTATTGGACCGACATCTTTTCTTTCTTTTATTATGAATAGAACTTCCGTCCGTTAAAAAAAATTTTGGCAGCGCTTAACTTAACTTGACGTTGACGTTGACGTTGATGTTAACGTTAACTACTCTATATACACAACGCAATCATTTTCGTAATACTTGAAATTTCCTTTTTTTTTCGAAAAATTCCTTTTTTAAACAAATTCCATATGAAAAAAAAGGCTGAAAATCTCCTTTTTATAAATACGTCGCACTAAATTAAATTCATCATAATCATATTCTTTTGTTAAAACGGTCAGGATTTTTTCCAAATTTGGAAATCAATTCCAGGAATTTTTGTTGATCAATTCATATTAATATTAATATGTTACAAATGAGTTTAGAAAACACTCACCGATTATGTTATGTCATGTTTTTTTAATATAGAACTCTAAGAACAACTGTTAAATAATATTCTTTGGATATATAGTTTTATAATCCCCACTAATCCAAACACTTTACAAAGTAGTTTTTTCAGAAATAAAACTTGAAATTGCAATTTTTTTTTTTTTAATACTCATTTAGCTCAGTGTGAAACTAAGGAGAAACAGAAATGACATTTTGCACCAGGAGAAAAATCAACTGAAAGGGCAAAATTTTTGGCCAAGTATTTTCCTGAATTATTTTCATTAATTATTTAGAAATTATTCTATTTGAAAAACATAATAAACAACTTGTTGCTATATAACAATTATTTTATCAAGCATTTAAAAAGATAGATAGATAATTCAAGGTCATCATCTATCATAGAAGAAATGAACAAAAAGGCCTAAGATAACTACTGATAACAATGCAATTGAAGCTCCCATTTATGAAACTTTGAAAGATTATATTCATCCAATAATTATAGATATAAGAAAATTCATATATTCATCCATTAATTCCATTTATTATGAACATAAGAAATTTCAAATTTATTATATATATCCATTAATTATAGATGTAGGAAAATTCAAATTTATTTTACTTTCTCAAT